AACAGTTTTAGTTTTGTTTATTTAACACAGATGCGGAAAAGAGACCGGTTTTTGAATATTACTCTGCAATAGACACCATAGGGGTAAGGTCATTATTGTTTAGTCCGAATTTTGTTTTCATAATGGTTTTTCGTTATACGTTTTGTTGTCATCATTTGATTTTTCTTTTGTAATAGTAAAGTAAAAAACCGAAAAAAAATGTAATTAATATACCTATTTAATTTTAAATATTAAATTGTTAAAATTGGTGGGCGATACTGCATTTATATTATGAGTTTCGGAGTCCGCACACCAAAATACATAAGATAGAGGTAATTTTATCAAAACAGTTTTTTCATCGTTTGCCTGTGTTAGCCCATCTATATAAAAATATGTTTAAGTCTACAATTTGTAGCTCAGATAACTTTTAGTTGTTAATTGTGTATTGTTGTGTTAGTTTACACGTTAAAAGCCATGACCATGATCAATAATAATTAATAGAAGACTCCTTCCAGATCGCTCTCTAATAATAAGTCTCGTATAATATATCGGTTAACCTTCAACCACTTTACTCTCCGCATATTATCAAAGTAAAATATTAAATATTCGACATTAAAAACCGCAAACTAATTTATCTATAAAACCATAATGTAAACTACAACAAAACAACATCCAAAATTGTTTTTCAGCGTAGCCTTCGAGAATTTCCAACCAAATTAAACTTGAAACGCTAAGGCGAATTACCACTAGACCATTTTAAATTTGTTTTTCAATTATTTATAAGGTATAATGTTACAATCAAGTGGAAATGTTAATAACAGTTGTCGAGACCACAACGCTTAACAATAAGTTTGTGTTCAATACTCAATGCTCCAGTGGCAGCTCTATCGGCACGGAAGAAAGGTTTAAAATAGTAGGTATTATCATATAAGTTCATACGTAGGCACCATGTTTCTTACTTTCTTAAAATTTAGCCCATGTTTTGTCCATATATATATATATATATATATATATATATATATATATATATATATATATATATATATATATATACTCTCACTAATTTTCGTCATGCTTCCTATTATTAGTGTCATGATGTTTCCTCCGACACATAGAAGAGTTTTAATTACATATAAATATCTGAGGTTAATATTTTATGGGGGTTGGTAATTTAAGAAGAAACTGAATAAAATGAAACCACATACACCAGCGTAACTAGTGTCTAGAACCTGACCCACTATTCTGTGCAGACTTGCGCAGTTCATTTGTATTCATTTTTGAATGTGTCAATAAGGTTTATAATATCTATTTATTAAATGATGAATCTTCTTCTTCTTCAAGTGCCCTGTCCGTTGCGAGCGTTGGCCATTAACATGGCAATTTTGATCTTGTTTGCGGCGCTTCTGAATAGTTCGACCGATGTGAAGCCGAACCACTTCCGCAGATTTTGGAGCCACGAGTTTCTTCTCCTGCCTGGCCCTTGCTTACTGTCTATTTTTCCCTGGAGAATCAATTGTAGCAGACGGTACTTATCGCGTCTCAGTATGTAGCCTAGATATTCAAGCTTTCTTTGTTTAATTGTATTCACGATTTCTTTCTCCTTTCCGATTCTTTGGAGTACCTCTATGTTGGTGACATGTTCAGTCCAGGATATACGAAGAATGCGTCGGTACACCCACATTTCGAATGCTTCTAGTTTTTTCGTTAGCGTCTCCGTCAGCGTCTAGGCCTCCACGCCATACAGCAAGATCGGAAATTTAGGCGAATGACCACCGATATTAGCGGATCGTACCCTATTAGAGTTTTTCTTGTAGGGTTACCAAAAGTTCAAGGTGTACCAGACAAATCCACCAAACGTTGCTGGTCTACCTGAGAGTTATACAAGCCTGTAACAACATAACTAAGGAAATTATTGCAGAAAGATAGAGAAGAAACATAAAAATGGTTATATTAATGTCACTAGGAAAACAGTCAATATTCTCCATTTCTAAAACTGATAACAATTTCTTTAGAATTTGAATATGCAGACATATGTCTGCACTGGCCAGTTTTCTCAGCTATCACTAACGACAGGCTGACGCACGTTGTCATGGCAACGGTGAACGCTTATACAGATGGATTTTGCATTTCAAAAATGATATTCACCTATTCCTGAATCATACACGGCTAGTGACACAGGTCAGGACTTGACCGTCAAGTACCTACCGCTTTTATTTAGCGTATGGACTTTCACAGTACGATAAATATACAAATACAATTACAATAATATACACATATATATTATATATATATATATTATTCAAACACTAAAAATAGTAAAAATAGAATGAATAGAATGAGTGACACTAAATATTAATGTCCAATTTACATAGCCATTCAATTGCTTCTGGGGAACATTCCGCAAAGTCCTGAAGGTTTCTACGATAGGCACGATTCAAGCAGTCTGAAACACAATGGCTTATGGTCTGTCTAGATTCTCCGCAATCGCACTGTGGACTTTCTGCACGACCCCACCTGAACAGCGAATCAGCACATTTACCATGTCCGGTACGTATACGATTAAACCTTGCTCAAATGGACCGGGGCAGATTTGATCCGATGAAACCCTGAGTTGGGGTGGATATCTTAATATAGTCCGATTCTACTGTTGGCATCCATCTTGTTGTCCATTGCCTATGTATATCATAGGAATTACCAATTTTTCGGGCAGATCGTATTGGAGGATTTCTAGATCTCAATCGTTGGTGCTCTTTTGAGATGTCTGGGATATCTTGATGTATTGGTAATTGTACGTTGGCTACAATTTTCTGGTACTCTCTCACTAATGCTGCTGTACGGCGTAGATCTGGTGGAGCAATATTGCTCAGAGTAGGCAGCCATCTCACTGGCGTTGATTTTATTGTTCCAGTGATTATTCTCATGGTTTGGTTAAGTTGGACATCGATTTTGCTTGTATGTGCACTATTTAGCCATACTGGTGCACAATATTCTGCCACTGAAAAAACCAAAGCTAGAGCAGAGGTCCGAAGAGTATCTGCAGAAGCACCCCAAGTTGTTCCAGCAAGTTTTGATATTAAGTTATTTCGTGTTCTTAGTTTACCGGCTGCGTCTGAAAGATGACTTTTGAAGGTGAGTGTTCTATCAAGTGTGACGCCTAGACGCCTGACCTACCGCTAATAAAGCTAGTTGTCTTTTTTAAATTTTAGATTAATTAAAAGAGAATAAATAATTAATTTCAAAATTTAGATATAATATTGTTGCTTTTATTTTTTATTTATTTGTCCCAATTTAATTATATTTTTTGGTGAACTTCACCTTCACCTACTTCACCTGGCCGGCCACCGCTGTATTAACAATATAATCCATTTTGTTCAAAAAAAAAATTCTTTCTATAATTTCTATTTTGTAAAATAGTTTTATTTTATTTTGATTTTTTAATTTAAATCAACCTATTCTGCTCCCGCCACTGGTAATTAACATCATTTTCACGTAAAATCTGCTTTTAAACTTGGTAAATTTTTAAAAAAATCGGCTACCAAATATGTAAGGGTGTAAATTATTCAAAGGCTCCAGCCGTACATCAAGAAAGCTGAACCCCTTTGTTTCAGTCTGCGGTGTTAGATCTAATAGATGAATCAAACCAAAAGCCAATTTATTAGTTGATAAAGGATGGAACTTAACAAATGTTTGCAGGTTGTTAGCCATGTTGGCACCTCCGTAGAGATAATATAATTAACGGAATTTCATCTTATACTTTGCCAACTTGTTAGTCGCAGGCGGAGGAGGAGAGAAATTTAAATTAGATCCGGGAAGTTAGTTATATGTATATCGGAGAAGGCATTAAGAGCAATTCTTCAAGCCTTGGGAACATTGTTTAGAGAAAACAAAACATCGGGAAGTGTAGTGTTGCAAACTGGGGGACTTGAGTTATCGTAAGTATTAACACGAATCGGGGAATAAGAAGTTTCGGAATATAATGTATACATAATAGCGCTATATAAACGGAAAAGGTAACAATATAGCGCAAGAAGGGGCTATTGCTTTGTTAAAGTTTAAAACAACGTAATTTCTATCCACCCTCGGATAAAAGCTTTTCCTTGAATTTTATATCCTTATTTGCTGCATTTAATGTGATACCTGTTTAATAGTATCATATCCTAACGAGTTCTGTATTCTTTAACGTACATGTTATACTAAACAGTTAGTATTTATGATGTGTATTATAACATATTAATCCGTGGAATAGCCGAACATATAATACGATGTTATACTAATAATAATTAATCTCAGCGTTTTTAGGGTTTATTTTATAACAGAAATTACGATGTTTGGTAAAGCTGGATAACTCACGAAATTTAATGTGAATACTGTCTTTTTGTGTTTAATTCACATCTGTAAACTAAAATCTATTCATGTTGGGGTTTGAAATCACTCATTCATGATGGCCCAGTGAACTGGTTATCACTCAGTTCACTAGGCCATCTTACAGGACTCTCGAAAAGCCACATGTTGGGGTTTGAAAATCATATAACGGCTCCACTAGGGGCGCAGCGTCAGAAGTTGGTTTGTTACAGTCTCCCCCTTGCCTTGAACTCATAAGAGGAGGGGCCAGCAGAAGATGTGGTTTTCTTCCTGGGGCATGATCGTCTTCGTGTTGGCACTACATGCGTTGGAGCTTCAGCGTCATTGAGGCTAGCTTGTGTAAGCGCGTATACGTGCAACACAACAAGGGCAGTAGGAGTGTCCACTCCATAAAGCTCATAACTCACAGGCGATACCACTCGCTTTATCTTAGAGGATTCATCTCTCTTCGGTTAGAATTTAGCTGTCGTACCTTTCGACCTGTTACTGGGAATAGTTGTTTTGGCCCATACTATATCTCCTTTTTTGAATGGACGCATTTATCATGTTTATATTTCACTTTTTTGCGATCAAACACACACTTTCTTCTATTTAAGTTACTAAAACCACGGCAAAAACGGTCTATGAGCCTTTGTACATTCATTGGGGCTCCTTTTAGTCTAAATGACATCTGTAAGTGCCGGTAAGTCCAGAACGGTGACACCCACGCACTTTTCGATAGTGCCTTCCTCCAAGAGTTTATCTAACTCGGCTTTCAGTACCTCTCTCTTGGCAGGTGACATTCGGTATGGTGGCAGTGCACTTGGTACGCTATTCTCTGTATTAATGCGATGCTCTGCATAAGATGTAGGCGCTCCCCCTATTATGATGGTATTCTTACAACTTTCCAAAAATTCATCAAGTCGAACTCGTTCATAATCCACTAGCATCATTCCTTTATCTTGTCTTAAATTTTGACAACAATGATTTTCAATAGGTTTTGTACCTTTTTCTTCAAAAAGCAATGGCTGTCATGTTCTTTTATTCAAAAAATTTCTTGTGAAAATCTAGAGCTATTTGTGCTTTTATCAAAAAATCAATACCTAGGAGAATGCATATGAAAAAACTATGAACTTTGTAGGTACCATTTTATCTATTATGTGTACATCAACTAAAGTTGTCAACACTTGTTTATTTGTAACGACACCTTCAGCGAATTTTACAGAAATTTGTTCGGACTTAAAAGTTTGTCCTTTCTTATCTAAAAGTTTGTACAACGTTGTAGCAGCTACACTTTGTTTGGCACCTGTACCCATTAAACCTTGATCTTCGTGCCCAAATATATCAATACTTAAAACTGGTCTAGGTTAAGGTGAAATAAGTATATCTACAGAAGAGAAATCTTTTGAGGATGTTTTCGTGTGGCTACATACTGGACAGTTTGCTCTTATGTAACGCCATTTACTTCAACCGTAACAAGTTAACGGGTTGTTTAGTCTATTGAGTGGTGAATTTGAAGTAGTCAGATACCTGTATCAAAGAGTATCGCGAAAAAGGCTTTTATAGAATTTTTCAAATGAAAATGATTGCACGTCATTCAAGATTTAAGACGCCAGAACCCCACAGTGTTGCCAAAACATCAGAATAGTTAGTAAGTGAGGAATTTTTAAAACGTCAATTATTTGTCAAACTGTTATATTAACAGTAAATACACTTAGTTTTAAGACTACTGCAATGCACTAAAATAGATAAGAAAACATTTTAATACAAAATTATATATTCTGAATTTTAAACTTACCTCTTTTAGAACATTAATAGTAAAAATTATTTCTTACTTAGCTTTCTACAGGCTATATTCAAAATACACAACAATAATTACTTTTTAAAGCTATTCATCTAAATTTAATATGTATTTATAAATACAATTTAATAATATATAATATATTATGATCAAATTGTGTAAGATATTAAAACATAAACAAAATTCTTGCTCTAAAAAAGCGGCAACACTTTAAAACAATTTTGCCACACGCTGAACTGTCATTAAAATTTGAAGTATTCCCATATCAGTTGTGTACAATTGTGTACTCTATTTAATTAAATTTATTATTTTGTGCAATATTAGACTTAAATAGTTATTTCATAAAATTTATATTATTAATAATAACAAATGTTTTTGGTTATTTAATCAATATTAAATTCTAAAACTAAAATTCCCAATATAATGATGATTACATTTTTCTGATTATTATACCATGTTGACGCCTATGAAAGATCGAGCAGTTCGGTATGGGTTTCGTATTATTAGCTGTGTTGGAAAATTTGAACTCTAAAGTTGACGTTTTGGAAATTTTAAATATAAGTGACGTCACTTTACATAAATTGTGACGTGCAACGTTTTTACTTTGAAAAATGGTATATTTTGCTAATTTCTCTGGTTTACTACTAGATTCTTAGTTCTACGATTAAACTGGCAACAGTTAATAGACGTGTAACCTTTAATATTTAATTTGATATTGTATTTTCTATATACTAATATTAAAATTTTAACTATGTATAAAAGAGACACTTTTTCCAGTCCTAAAACAATTCCAAATCACTTCTTCTTTTTTAGCAATTTATATTTAGTTTGACAAATGACTTTTTAATTTTTGAAATAAACAAATTCTGTATTTTAAATTATATTATAAAAATTAAAATTTAAAATGTGTAACCAAACACTAGAAAAGCAATTTAAAAACCGGAAATTCAAATTTAAAGTTAAGCAAATTATCCAAGATATAATGCTAGCCTATCAAAAGTTAAATTAAAATATCCAAATGTTTATTAAAAACATGCTAATGTTTAGCTCGAAGTTTTATCTGACATTCATATTAGATTTATATTTGACATTAGACGAATGAAAATAAGTACGAGTCAGAGTAAAATAACTACCGGAATAAAATTTAATACAGAAAATGCAATAACCGAGCAGTATTAAATAAAACTGTTTAAGAGGGAACTACATAATATACTAACACTATTATAGTTGTCACAAAAATCGACCGTATATGATCATATCATGTTCGATCGTGGACTATTTGTTTTTATACTCACCAGCACGAAAAATGGATCACTTGCATTTTTGAATTAAAAACTTAAAATTTTAATTATCTTTAAACTTTTATCATTATTATAACATGCAAACTGTTTTATCATTATTAAACTGCAAACGAAACAAAAACTGTTTTAAGTAATTTTGTAACGAGTCTGTCACTTCAACAATCCTTGCATCACTTTGAATAAAATCTATAAACAAATATTCAGTAATCTCCTAGTAATCAGGTATCTCCTAGATTCGGTATCTCTTAGTAATTTGTAAGTTGGTATTAAACAGCGACTCTAAGCGGCAGTTTTTGGAGACATGACAAGACAACTTTGGGGAAGAGGAGTTGGGTTAACTAAAAAGTAGGCGGCTCGAGAAGTGCTAAATTTGTTTTAAAGAATAATAATTTTTTTTGGGAAGAAGAAGATGGAAAAGTTTTAGTTTGTTTTGAAGTGTGGACCGTTTGATTTATAGCCACTTTGAGCTGGTAAGTAAATCCAATTATCAATCAGCCTTAAGTTATTTGTTTTTGGTTACATGGCGCTCTATTGTAACTTGTTAAATTAGCTCAAAATACTTTTGTTACATTACTTTTACACATTTGTGTTAAAATTTCTAATAAAAGTTGAACTTTTGAACAAAGAACTGATTCAGCAAATAACAATTTAAAAATAAAGAAAAAAACGTAAGTAAATGTTGTAACAAAATGACCCTCAAGTAATGAAAATTTAAATCATGTGTCCGGGCAAACTGATTTTAATAATGAATGTTTCCGCCACGTGCTCGTATTATTACCTGAATTTTCCTTGGCATGCTTAAAATCAAATGAGAAATATCCGATTGAGGAATAAGTTCCTATTTCTCTAAAAGAGCTTCTTGTAACTGATTTAAGGTTAAAGGGGCAGAAACACGACTTTCTATCCTTCGCCCAAGCATGTCCCAAACATGTTCTGTTTTGTTTGCGTCTGGACTCAATGCTGGCCAATCCATAACAGAAATGTTTACTTCAGTTAAAAACTGTTGAGTGATTCTCTCACTGTGAGGCTTGGTATTATCATGCATAAGAACAAAGTCATTTCCATCAAAACCATCATAATTCACAACAAAATCTTGGAGAATTTCTTCAATTGACCTGTCAGCTGTTATGTAGCCTCTCGGGACGATGTACAATTTTGTACATACCTCCAATCTGAAGGGAAATTCCTTTTAAAAGCCTACCCTAGGACTGAAGGTAAGTTCTGCAAAAACGCTCATGTGGTCTTCATTAACAGTAAAATGAGCATTGTTTCTGGCAAATTGTAGGCCTGTTGCATGTCTGCGACTACTTAAATTTACTTCTCCAAGCCTTCGTTTAATGTTCATTCACCTACATTACTATTCCGGACGTATTGAAATTGATTTCGGATTTGTACAGCTGTGGCACGACGATCTCGTAGACTTTGTGCCGATCACGGGCATTAGTTCTTCGTTGGGGGCCGGTTTCAGGTCGTCTAGTGTGAGCTCCGGTTATCAAATAACGTGTAAAAATAATACGGTGCACACATCGGTCACTTCTTTTCTTCTGTCTTGAAGCAACACAAAAATAGCAGCTGCTATTTCGGGATTTGCAGCCTTAGTTCTTTTCAACTTCAAATTGTGTTTGACACTTGATTGGACTTAACAGTTTACTCACATCAACAAGAACAAAAGAATAACGATCGAATAACAACGGGCGTGTATGATTTGGACGCTAAATTTAAAATTCGACACTGAAAAATAAAATTACCTGTTTCTGCATACATGATTTGGACGCTGGGTGTAATTGAAATGTAAATGGAAAGTCAGGTAATAAAATTCTAGAGATTAAGCTTGATAAGGTTTATTTGTCACTTTGAAATAAATACGACATACATTTTACGAAATGGAATCGACCGATACAGTTAGTTTGATACTCATGTATCCTATTTCTACCGAACATAATTTTTTTTCTACTCTTTGGATCTTTAAGTCTATTACTTTCACTATTACAGACACTATTACTTTTAATGTAAGTTTCAGTTTGAAATTTTTTTAAAACATCAATAAAATGGAGAATATTTGGATGAGCATGGTAAAAATTATCATTAAAACGCGAGTGGAACGATTCACAAGCATTAGTTGTTAATTGTAAACTATCATTCATCGCAGCCCACATCTCCGACGGAAATGTTGCGTGGTCGCCAATGTAGTTGTCCAATAAGTAGTCGGAAAACTTTTCAATTTTTGAATCCTTTGGTTGAATAGCCATTAAATCATATATGAAAGATTTTTCGACTTCTGAGGGAGGTAAAAATGGCAGCCCAAAAATATATTTCAGCCATTTAGATATTTCACTGTCTGCCAATTTATATTCCCGAATTAAGCCTCAACCACCAATATTACGATACCAAGCTTGCATAAGATGAAAACGGCACCCTTTAATGTGCACATTTGTAAATTCAAAAAGCGCAGCATTGTGAATAGCAATTTCAAAATCAGATTTTTGGATTGAATTTTAGACCAATTATTTCACATTTGCGTTTCAAAACATTAAATAGTTTTATACAGGTTTGTCAATCAGTACAGGTATCAATGTCCATTGATAAATACATGTATGGTAAAAAATCGCTTGAAATATTGAGCACAGTAACTAAATGTAGCGTCCATATAAATCGTTTCACTGCCGCACAGAAAACGCATGTTAGTGTTACACGAGAAGATGATAATGATAGAACTTAGTTCAACCGCAAATATAAAATTCTCGTCTTTAAGTGTTTTGATATTCATAATATTTACCGCAGCAATAGTTTCTTCTTTACTTTTGGGCAGTTTCGGTTGAGCCATTCGCCGTTCATTGTATATTTGATTTCG